CATGGTATTGTCCGCCTCTAGGGGTCTTGGTCTATCATGGTGTTGTCCGTCTCTAGGGGTCTTGGTCTGTCACGTTGATGTCCGCTTCTAAGGGTCTTGGTCTGTCACGATGATGTCCGCCTCTAGCGGTCTTGTCATACGACATGCGCTCCAATCAACAACTTCGCCACCGAGTGTAAAGCCTCAAGCCAACCAACCCTGTAACGCAGAAGGCGCTCCAATCAGCAATGTTGCCCCCGACGGGCAAAACAGAAGCATGAACTTTGTCACTCGATGACAAAATCCAGCTTAAAATCCAGGCTGTAATCCTCGAGACGTCCAGTCCTGTAACGCAGAAGGCGCTCCAATCGACAATTTTGTCGCCGATTGACAAAATGTAAAGGCGAATTTTATCATTCGACGACAAAATCCAGCTTGAAAACCTCCAAGAACTCTCCCATCGAGGCACATTTTGTCAAAAAGCGACAAAATCACAGGCAAACTTTGCCAGGCAGAGACAAAATCCTGCCTCACGGACCTGCCCCGCAACACTCTGCACAATGCTCAGTTGGAAGGAAGCTTAAGTGTCATCTCTACTTGCTTGCATAAGATCGCTAACTGGCGACCTTTGCTTTGCCCCGGCCGCTTTCTTCAACAACACATGGTGTTACGCCTGTCTGTCATGGCGTTGTCCGCCTCTAGGGGTCTTGGTCTGTCATGGTGTCGTCCGCCTCTAGGGATCTTGGACTGTCATGGTATTGTCCGTCTCTAGGGGTCTTGGTGTCCGCCTCTAGGGGTCTTGGTCAGAGGTGGGTCCAATGTTCGGTGCAAGTGGCATCTGCGCCTAAAAGTTTCAATTCAAAGAGTGATAGGCGACGATTGCGCCAAGAAATATCTATTCAATTCAGAGAGGCATTGCTCCCAATCCATATCCATCCTTCCACTTATCTATTCATGAATATCCTCGAGTTGGACGAAAGACCCCACGAACGAAAGGGCATTTCCCTACTCTCGAGCACATGCACGGTCCCACCACCACCCCGAATTGAGCCAGAGAGAAGAGAAATGCCCAAAGAAGAAAAACAACAAAATCCAATTCGATTCGAGAAATCAATCAGGAGATTTCTCATTCGATAAACTCTAGAGAGAGGATTCTCATACGCAGAACTATCACTTCACCACAGAGCCATCCAGATCAATCCATCCTGCGCTGGGGAATCTCCTGACAATACAAGCCCGAAATCAGAAGTGAATATCTGGAATGAAGTGGTCGCATTGCCCGGAAAAGTGTTGGTCGCCCTCGCGGCGACGTTGCACGCACCTATGCAAATGTCGTTGCAAGGCAAACGAAATGCGTTCCCGAAGGCGGCCCTTAGTATTGCCATTAATTCGTTCCAATGGACCATCCACTGCTCGGCAGAAAGAATCCAACAATCGACCCCCCTCAGCGTTAATTCCGCCCGCATAATCGAAAACAACAGGTTCGAAACCAATGCCTTGCTCATTGCAATGCGTCAGCGTGGATCGATCCTAGCCTTGGTCTGTCATGGTATTGTCCGCCTCTAGGGTCTTGGTCTGTCATAGTGTTGTCCGTCTCTAGGGATTTTGGTCTGTCACGGTATTGTCCGTCTCTAGGGGTCTTGGTCTGTCATGGTGTTGTCCGCCTCTAGGGGTCTTAGTCTGTCACGGAGTTGTCCGCTTCTAGGGGTCTTGGTCTGTCACAATGATGTCCGCTTCTAGGGGTCTTGGTCTGTCATGGTGTTGTCCACCTCTAGGAGTCTTGGTCTGTCATGGTATTGTCCGCCTCTAGGGGTCTTGGTCTGTCACGGTGTTGTCCGCCTCTAGGGGTCTTAGTCTATCATGGCGTTATCCGCCTCTAGGGGTCTTGGTCTGTCACGGTGATGTCCGCCTCTACGGGTCTTCGTCTGTCATGGTGTCGTTGTAGGGGTCTTGGTCTGTCACGGTGATGTCCACTTCTTATTGAAAGATATCTACAAATCGAACGATGACTAAATATGTATCGCAAATCGGGAGAGAATTTTCACGATTGCATGATATGGATGACGTTCGATCTTCAATGGGAATTGCAAGTTGCCATCCATGGATAATGAATTGCACAAGAGATCTTCATCACGGGTCCGGAGACGATCCAAATATTCTTGGATCTTTGCAAAATGTGAACCGTTGGCCAGATCTCCTTCTCAAATATATCTAAGGTGGTTGATGTCGTTGGCTATTCGTTGGCCATTATTTGGATAATCATCGTCGATGAATAGATTCAATTAGGAATTAGGAATCTCATATTTAGGATCTCCCGGCTCACGATATGTATTGGTGACTTTTGCTTGCGTTCCGGGTCCCTTTTCCCCTGCGTAATTCGGGATGATGGCGGGAATTTTCATTGGGGGGATGGGGGGTGTGGGGATCTGGGATTGGAATCTTGTTGTTTTGGTTGTGAGCTTCGAGAATGGAAATCCAATGAAATGGATTGATTCATATTCTCGATTAGGATAATTCCATGGGTATTATTAGAATAAAAATCTTGCGTATCGGAAGGGGGAATTTCGAATATAAATCTTGAAATTTCTTCAATCTATATCATTTATGATTGAAATATTGAGAGATATTGTAAATATCTCAGATGATTTATCTAAAGATCAAGTCAAAAGATTATATCTCAGAATTAAGTATATAGTTTCCATCAGGCCCTATCGTATCTATTATATCCCGTGGTGATAGTGTGGAGAGGCCGAGATTGAAGTTTCGATTATCCTAAATATATTATTTATAGAATATGGATCTATTCTATAAATTCTCTCATTTCAAAATGGTGGTGGATTTTCTTTCAGAATTTATGGAGCGATATTAGGGATATTCTTCATCGAGATTCTATATGATAGAAATTCTCCATGAATGAATATTTAAGATAAATAGAAATGATATATCTGAAATTGGAAATCCAAAAATTACAATATCCCCTTCTCTTCCCAACCTATTATATCAAAAAATTCGGATTAGTTTTTTTCAATTCTATATAATATCAATAATCTAATAACCATAGAATCGATATATCTCTCCGAAATTATGATTTATAAGAGATTTCTAGTCTCATAAGAATGAAAAAGATGCATATATAATCAATTCTATCATTCGAAACCCACGAATAAATCCAACGAACTCAAAGGTCCCATATACTAATATAACCACCTGCTACATCCAAAAAACTCAATTTAAAACCTTCTGAGTTTTCTAGAATTCTTTGGAAAATAAGTAGGTTAATATAAGTAAAATGTCGAATCAATCCGTGGTAATATCGTCGAGATTTCTGCTCGAATACCACCAGGGACGCAAAAGACTTCTGCTCCCAAAAGCATCAATAAAGACAAAAGATATCTGCAAAAGATACTTTCGATAAGAGATATAGAGGAAAAGACTTGGGAAGCCAAGTCCCGGCAGCGTGCATTAAAAAGCCCACCACCACCCCCAAAATAAACAGGTCATCAATCGCCACGAAATAGAAGATAGCATCAAATACCCTAAATACCAACATTCTTTGACATCAAGAAAACTATCGATCATCTCAATACCTACACGAGGGACCTACAAGCACAATAAAAATATTTCCTACAGAGAAAAAGATAATGCAATCAATCATCCATCCATTGTCTCTCGCAAGATCCGCCACCACCCCGAATTATGGGAATATACGGAGCCCAAGAAACTATGATGCCAAAGTGGGGCTCCAGAATTTATCATCAATCTCAATTCGCCGGGCGGCGCCTCAACCAATGACCCACACGACGAAACGAATTCTCCTATGCAAGGGTCCTATATCAATAAATATAAAGATTCAAGAATATTTCCAATATATTCGATCCTAGAGATAAGGTTATTACAATGCCCTCGACGCACGTCTTTTTACACGCCCGGCTGATGCGTGACGCCAAAGGGCCTCTGGGAATTGCTATTGGGTTTCGGATTCGATTCCAACAGAACATCAACTACCCTGCGTTCTCATCCGAGCTTAGGTTCGGACGAAGCAGCAGCCTTGACCCTGTGCTGCCAGTCTTCGAACTGAGCCTGGCAGCCGAAAGGAATCCTACAATCTGAAAAGATCCTACCTCTCGGTGTATAAAGCATGTGTACAGCGCGTGTAGCTCGGTAGTTGCCTTTGCATCTGACCAACTCCCAGAGCCTGCATCGAAGTCACTGTTGTTGCTCATGTTCTTGGGTTGTTTGCTGCGCGTTTTGGGGATGGACGGACAGCTGCAACATCTGCAAGGTTGTGCAAAAGTGAGTAGCACAGTGGCACAGTGGCATGTCGCGGCACTTCTCTGCCATTTCTTTTTAGGAGCGTAGTATCCAGCATGCAATCTGACATGAGGCTTGCGCGCAGGACTTGCTGCCAGCGGGAGAACTGCTCTGGCCTGGCCAAGAAACCAAGACAAAGCAATCTGGGCATCTAGGTCAAGCAGGCAGGTCGACGTCAGCAACGGCCCAAAAGCCAGCCTTGCCGACGCATGGTGTAGGGTGCAGTATACTTCGGGTTCAAGGCTTGGGCTCATAGGCATTGAGTATGGCTGAGTGAGCTGCGGTTGCCAATTCGGCGGGGGCTGTTGAGGCGCAGGTGAGTTTGCGCCGCCTGCAACTGTGCTCGCAAAATGCGTCTGTGCCTGCAACATTGCTGCTTTCACTGTCACTGTTGAACTTGCATTTGTTTTGTTTTGCTTTCGTTGCCTTTGTTTTAGCTTTGCCGCCTTTGTCACCATCAATCAGTGCCCCACCTGAGTGCTTCTTGGGCTTTGGGTGCACTGTCACCGCAACTCAGACTCCACATGTTTCATTTTCGCCTGAAGCAATCTCTTCCGCGTGCTTGCGCGGTCGATTGACGCGATCCTGCTCAATTGCTCGGTGGATTCGCGGGGAAATTGTAGAGGGGGGGGGGGGGGAGGAGGTTTGTGCACCAACCATCTTGGATACCCAACTCATCAAAGTCTATGGAACCCAGGAGAAACTCGGAATCAAATCATCTCATTCGGACAACTCCCTGTCAACTCCTTCAGTGCAGCCGTCAAAGAGAAGCCACTCTGTGGCTTCTGGGGTTCTTTCTGCGCTGCCAGCGCGGTAGCTTTGGACGCCTTGGTCACCTGGCTCATTCATGCTGATTCATGCTCATCCACTCATTGCGTCTTTGTGGCTGCCAAGGCTATGGCTCAAAATGGTTTTACACTCAGGCTCAAGGCTGTGACCTAGCAGATCTGGTGGTGCAAGTATTGCGTACTTGCCTGCTCAACTTGTCTTCGAATGTCCTCGTTGGGTATGAGCTGGTGAACGAGAACCTGCCGATTGTGTTTCGTGATTGTTTGGGCCTGCTCAATGCCCGTAATCTCCAATCTTGGAACGTCAGGAGATCAACAAACCCTTAAACAGGCTCGGAAGCCCAGGAGACCTTCTCATAGGATTATAGTATAGGCTTTGGGCTTGGGAATGAATGGCTTTGGAACCCTTGAAGCCTGAAGCAGGAAGCAGAACGGTAGCATGGAAAGCCGGAGTGTAGCCTCGTGGCCACAACCCGGGCAGTTGCTGCTGTCCGCAGCGGAGTGTGCCAATCTGTCAATGGCACAGTCGCTACCTCAGCTTTAGCGCTTGGTGCTTTTTCCATAGCCCAAGTCTTGCGTAGCATTCTGAGAAGGCCTTCTTCTTCCGACAGCTCAGCACCCCTTGCAAACCCACCAATGTCAGAAAAACCAAGCAAGACAAAACCGTAGCATGCGCTGCAAGTAGATCCCGGACATGCCACAATGCCAGCTGGCAATTCCCAAAGTCGCATAGTCGGGCACTAGCTAGATCCGCCACTTGCTCTTCGCCGCACATGCCCCGACCTTTGATTAAACAGAACTGCATCGGACCTTGAGGTGTCGTGTCCTGCATGACCCAGGTTTGTGAGTCGCCATAATATACCCTAATATACCCTAATATACCCAAATATACCCTAATATACCCCCAATATACCCGAATATACCCTAATATACCCTAATATACCCCCATATACCCTAGTGTACCCTCATATACCCCCATACCCTGGTAAACCCGATTCCTCATCAGAAGCGCAATCTTGCGACGCTGCACAAGAGCGCGGCTTCCCGGCTCTTCGTCGCGAAGGTTTGCTTTCCCGATCGCCATGAAATTGGGGCATATTGGGGTACATTTGGGTATATTGGGGTGTACTAGGGTATATAGGGATATATTGGGGAATCTTGGGGTATATTAGGGTACATCATTCATGCAAAGCTGTCGATCCATAGGAGTCTGATCCAGCTAGTGCAAAGCTTTCATCGCTTTAGGCAGCCAAGGTCATTTCCTTACATCCAGCGCCCTGTGCGCATTGTATGTTGCCTTGCTGTTGTGCTCCTCCAATCACAAGCTTGATACGCTTGGTGGTTTCAACACTCACATGGCAAGCCAGGGCTCCCGCAAAAAGTCGCTCCACAACAGGGCGCCAACACAGCCTGAACCATCCCACTCACGCAATCTTGAATCTCGAGCTCCAAACATCCCACTCCCTTTAGTCGATGCGGTCTTTTGAAATGCTGGTCTTGATGGCTCTACATGGCGCGCAATGGCCTGCCGAAACATCTGGTGGCACAAGGGGCACTTGAGCGACTCCTGCGCCGACGCAGGTATTTGGTGCAAAGTTTGCGCACACATGGCTGCAGCCAGTCTTGATTAACAAATTGGCAATGAGCACTGAAGTCTTCAAGTCAAGTACAGAGATCTGTGATGCTCTGTTTGGGGCATTGGGAGACGAGGCCTCCACGCGTCGCGCGCCTTGTGTGAATGCCACAGTGACCTGGCTTGTTCTATACGTCCAAGTCTCAGCAGCAAACTGTGTCCACTTAGCTGCTTGGGCTAGAAAGTAGGCGTTCGCGAAAACAAAACGACCGTTTTGCCTTCTCCTGCACTGTGTCGCCCAAGATCCGCTTCTTTTCCTCGGCCGAAGCTTCGTGGTCGTAGATATAGTGGCCGCTGTACCTCTTTAATCACTTTAGTCCACAATATTCAGAATGCAACAAGTAGTCCCACGCGCTCTCCCAAGCCGAGTGGCCCAGGGACCACGAGCGTGACTCCCCCTGCGCTCTTCTCTTGTGCTTCCTCCATACTCACCTCCGCCACTTTTGTTCGGAGCTTAGCAATGTTGCCTATAAGCCGAACAGATCGCTGCGGTCACATAGGGCCTTCCGAAGCCACTTCCGTGGAATGCCCTTGGCAGGGCGGACCTTCAAGACCCCGTGTTGCTTGCATGGCTTGAAACTCTAAATCCTGAAAAGATCCGTCCAATCCTGCACTGCATACGGATCGTGAGGCAGCATGTTGCTCCGAATGCTTTTGGTACTTCCTGGTGCAATATGCATACATGAGACTTCGTATTTAGAAGTGCCACCTGCTTTCCGATTTGCGACTTGCAGAGCAGAAGGTAATTGCTCATAGGGCACCAGAAACCGGAAAGCTGTTTGACAGCAGATACTCGAAAACCAGCTCGGTAGATTTCAGCATCTCTTGAGGTGTGAATTCTCTTTGGATGTCCAAAACATTGCTGAGACCCCTTTTCACATGTTCATGGCGATTTGCATGCTGCCGGACAGCTGCAATTGCCACTATCCTAGGTTTGATAGACTAGAAAGAACATGTTGAAGCCTGGTTCGATCGAAGCCGCCTTGTTTATAGGGGGGTGGGGGGAAGGGATTTGGATATCACGGGCAACATACATTCCCACTCTCAGCGTCGGACTTTCTTAACATGCTCGGGATCCTCGTTTGTTGGACATTCCTTAGCATCAGTTCCGCGACTGCTCTCCCCGGCTCGGTGCGGAGACATGCTGCCAAAGTCACCCATGCCCAGTGGGATCCCGTCAATCCGCACCTGGAGATTGGGATCGCTGTCTTTAGAGGGCCTGTGGATGGATGGTGTTGAAAGTGTGTGGTGTGCCCAGACTCCGTGAAATCATTCAATATGTGAATACAGAATCTCGGCTCCGCCGCACAATCCAGGACAGGCCTGTGGCAAACGTAGCCCTCAGGTGGAGGTTCCGGCGGCTCTTCCTGTTGTGGCGCACTGCGCTCAATGCCACCACGAAGGATGAGAATGCTTCAGCCCAACCTCCTCCTCATCCGAAGCATCGTAGCCGAACTGTTTGCGATCACCTTCCACATTCGTGAAAAAAGGCGAGGGGGGGCCGAAACCCGTGCAAGCAACTCCCCAGCACTGGAAAAAGCTGAGGGTGCCAACTGCTTGCTGCCGCATTATACGAACGGTTGAAGCCTGGTCTTTGAAGCACTTTCTTTGGTTCAAGAGACGAAGCTTTCTAGATACAGTCAAGACAGTTCACTGCAAGCTTCAAGCGTCAGAGGAGGTGGCGATGGGACGGAGCTCCAGAGGACGACAGGCCGGCCAGGCCAGACACATCATGCCTGAGACAAGAGACCATCTCAGCTACTTTTTCTTTAAGACCCACTCTTTTACTCTCGACAATCTGCTCTCTCGTTGGTGTTGCAACTTCTGCTCTGCAACTTCTTGGGATTCTTGGGCCACTATAGGACTACTAGAAAACACGTGGAGGTGTCCTGGCCTTTGGGGAGAGAGTGAGTGAGTGAGTGAGACATCACATCTGGCCTCAAATATTTACAAGCAATGCGTCAAACTACGGCTCATGCCAGTCATCAACCTGTTCGTACTCGCGTTTCGCCCCAGAACTTTTCTGTCGTCACAAAGAGAACTCAAAGCTTGAAGGGCTTTTCGCGACAGGTTTGCCAATGTTTGTTCAAGCTTTCTCACCAGAGACGACACGTCGTGTCACCTTCTACAGCTGCACAGCACTCGTACTCTGCCCAAACATTGCAGTGCATGACCGAGTTCCCAGCCATGACCACACGACTTGTGAAGCACAGCTGCGTGATTACAGGCATGGGGAAAGATAGAATACTAAGAGTGGTAAATCACAGCTACATACATCAAGGTAAGAGGACGTGCGAGATGGCCGCTGAGATGGCCCTAAGAGCCCTGCTGCTGCACCACGCGATCCATTGCCAGGTCGTCATCGTCGCTGAGGCCCCCGACGTCGACACCGAGGGAACCTGCGGAAGCTCAACCCTAAACCCTAAACCCTAAACCCTAAACCCCAAACCCTAAACCCTAAACCCTAAAACAAGGTGTTGCCATGGAGATGTGCAGTGGACAACTCGAGAATGTTCGAGGCCGACACCCGAAAGCTGCCCATCAGCTTTAGGCGTGCGGCGGACCAGCACCTCTCTCGTTACAACGCAACATTCTCATACATGCTGCAGCTTCAAAGATTATTAGTATTACTATTATTATTATTATTACTATCACTATTACTACTATTACGATGATGATGATTATTATTAGTATTGTGTTTTCTTGCGAGCAGAAGGCCTGTACAAGTCGGCCCTCGGCGAGCAGCACCTTGCCAGGAAAGGGCACGCTGCAGGTTTTCAATGTGCTGTTGGGCACCGGGCCTTCGGATCCAGCTTTGCTCCAGTGGAGTTGTCATCCAGGTCTAAGTCCTCAGTGGTTGCATCTTATCCTGACTTACCTAATTTACATTGTTGCATGTTGTTCTCGATGCATGGACCTGCAGCGCACACGACCACTGTGCAGCCAGATCATGGCCGTGGACCCGCAACAGCTTATCTTTTGGCAGGCTTCCAAGCGTGACCTGCGAATTTCCCCCAACAGCGGATTCGCTGGGAATTTGCAATCCGTTCACAATGCGGTGACACGCGCGCGCTTTTGGCCGGAGCTTGCAGGTTGTGTGCGCGACGGGACTACTGTGACTGTTGTGAAGGACAGTAAAGCCAAAAAAATATGCCAGCCGAGCAGAGCAATGCCGCTTGCAAAAAAGCTTGCGATTCGCGACCGATTCGGGCGAGCAATCGTTGGGAAGCAAGCATTTTCGGTCACGGTCTGGGCCCAACTACGAGACCACAACAACATTGAGTAGTGTGCGAGCACCCACGGTGACATGTGCTCAGATACACCTGCACGTGGCGCAAATACAGGTGCGTATGCACACATACGGATGCAGACATTTCGCGCCCCAAACGTCCAAGAAAGACGTCCGCCCACACATGGGTGTGTGTGTGTGTGGGCCCGCAGATTCTTGTGCACACCTCAAAGGCCTCTGAGTACATGTGTGTGCGCGCATGTGCGCGCGCACGTGTGCGCGCGCGCACGCGCGCGCGCGCGCGCGCGAACACGCGCGCGTGCGCGCAGTCGTGCGCGCGCGCGTGCGTGCGTGCGTGCGTGCGTGCGTGCACATGCGTGTGCGCACTAACGCATGTCTGCGCAAGAACCTGTCTTTCCGCGTATATACATGCATATGTGTGCGCATGCACACATGCATGTGCCTCGAGCACATGTACACCATGGCAAAAGACCATTCGCCCTTACTTGAGAAACCTGCGAACCGCAGTGCAGCAAGTTGCATTCGACACCATAGTATTGGCCAGTCGTGGTGAAACGGAGCTATGTTGTTTGTCTTTTTGGGGTGTTTGTAGTTCTCATGCGGTTAGAAATAGGCTTTGGGTTTTCTTTTGGGCTAAGACGGCTTGAGGTTTACGGTTGAGGGAAAAACTCGAAGAACGAAGGAAGCCATCGACTTACCACGTTACCAAGCGCTTTGGGTGCATCGACTCCCTTAACAGCGGACTCCAAGACCCTTGACAAAGGAGGCACAACGACTGCTAAGATTCCAGCTGTGGTGGTGTCGCTGATGCGCGCCTTTTGATGACTAAATCATGTGCGCACCACAGCTAAACGACAAGCAACCCCACGTGCCAACCAGACAGAGAAGGTCTGAGCTGATGCAAGCTGCCTGCTCGTAAATGGCGCTCTTGACTCGCTGAAGCGTGCATGGCCTGAAAGTGTTCTACTTTGCAATGTTGATGCCCCAGCTCCCGCACAAAAACAAGACTTCCTCGGACGCTGTATGGAGGTCGTTGTGCTATGTTGTGTACCATTCTTGCAGCTTGGTGGCGTTGTCAGATTCAGCAGGCTTCGGAAAGCCTGAGTCGCAAGTGCCGAATGCCAACTTGCCCAAGCTGCTAAACCTACTGCTGAAAAAAAAAGACATTCCGGGCACATCTGCCCTCATCTGCCACCCTGCCTTCTCACCACGGAACTTGTATTGAACCGGCATTGCTGCACGGCGACCATAGCAGGGGGCTTTTCGGTGTTAAGGGTTTTCAGGGTTTTAAGTATGGGGGCCTTCTGGGCAGTCGGACGAATGCTTCTAGGGTGTTTTAAAGTCAAAAAACCATACTGAAGGGTTTGAGGGGTTTGCCGATGTCAGAGACGTCGACATCTGTTGAAGCATTCTGGTGTCAGCGGATGTCAGCGGCATCACTTGCTGTAGCGCAGTCAGCCGCTGCAGTTGAAGAAGCGAATCCAAGAAAAGGAAGTCAAAGTGTTTTTTCCCCGCCGTTGACGCGCAATGGAGCCATCTAGTCTGCGTAGCCTGGAGCTAGGCTCGAAGTAGGCGGCCGCAGGTGGCGGAGGAGCTTTCGACGTTCAACTTCAATGCTGTGGGGAAGCTAGAGCCTAGAGTTTTGTCTGTTGGCTTGAAGGGCGCTTCTTCTGCCTCTTGAGCCATCAAGTAGCCGCCCCAGTTGTCGCAGCACTTGCGTCTGCACAAAGGCCACTTGATGCTACTCGTGCATAGGAACCCGCGTTTGCCAAGCTGGGGGCGCAGAGGATAGCAAAGGCAAGCTGTCAATGCCGTGTTCAACGGTGTTCTGGGCCCTACTTGCACTAGTTCCGTGGAGGCCTGTGAAGGCAAGGCATGGTCGCTTCAGCGCGGTGGAGGTGGAGGAGGCGGATTGCGGCTGCACTCTGAGCAAACAAACCTCAGCATCTCAAAGCACGCCCTTCATGCTGCAGGCACACCTGTGTCGCCGCGACTGCGAGCAACATTGCCATGGCATGTGTAGGGCTGCGCTCAAATCTTCCCAGCTGAGCTCTGCACATGCTCTGTGCAAACTGGGATCGGTTGGCCGCACCCTGTTGCAATGGATCAAAGTGAAGACACTGTGGAACGCTGAAGCCTAGGCCTCATGTGAAGTCTGTGTAGCCTGCACTAGGTGGGTTTGAGCATGCACGCAGGCCTGGCCTGAAGCACACCCATTTGCTGGGGCACCGGCCTGGGAAAGTTCAAGATTTGAGTAAGGGCTCGTCCGAATGTGCTGATCCAAACTTCAGGCCCAGATCCAAACCCACTGAGGCAGAAGGCTTAGGGGGGAAGTCAGCATGCCTGCCAAGGTCCGGGCTTGTGACAGAGGTCGCACTGGACCACAGCTCCCGGCTGGTGGTGCCTAAGTCTCCAGATCGTCTTGAGAGCCAGCACAGGAGATCGGGGTGCAAGACCTTCACAATTAAAACCTGGCCCCGAAGTGGGGCATGGGAATCAAACAGGAACCTTAAACAAGCTTGTGGATCAACAAGGGTCTGCCAATGCTCAGCCTGCCGCTCTTCCAAGCTTTCTGACTAACATGCATGACTGCATAACTTGCATAGCAGCAGTCAGCAAGCTTGATGGAAGTGTGCAAGCTGAGATCTGCTGAGGCAAGTGCCAGAGCCTTTCGCCCTCTGCTTTGAACGACTCGATCTTGTGCTGCGGCAAGGTGCCAGATGCATTGCAAACGAGCGTGATGCGCTTGGGACGCTGGGCCACACAACTTGGGCAACAGTCTTCAAGGGAAGCCAGTGGAGGGACCGGAAACATAGCCAAGCCATCCCTGCTGATCCTCAAAGTACTGAAATCCCCCCTCATCACCCATTGATCCAGGTTGAAGCCCCAACTTCCTCCATTATGCACGGCTTGTCCATGTCCTCCCCAGGTTGGAAACTGATCTTGCCTGGGCTGCCAGCTCTTCGCGGTCCCCACTGCCAAATCGCTTCACGGCTTCACGGTATGGAAAGTTCGGGATGTTCGGGGTTCAGGATCCGGAAGAGGTTTCTTAACCGGACATCCAAAACCACGCAATCAACTGGGGTTGGCACGAGTGTTTCGCGGGCCGCCCCTCCTGAGGACCTCCATCATGTCACGTGGGTGGCAATTGAAAGGGGGTGGCACCGGCTGTTACATCGCAATTTCATCTATGCTGTGTCTTTTCTTTGGTGTCGGATCATGCCTTTAACTAAAATTAAGGCTTGCCTTATTAACAACATCTGCGCCCTTCTAAGCACGCAGCAGATTTCTTCGGCTGCTCGGTACGGTGCCTGGCGCGCTGTTCACACGTCATCTGCCACTGCCATCATGTGCTGTGCAGAAAGGATCCCTGAACATTTTGGTGCTCAATCTCGCCTCAGAATTTCGGAGGTGAATCTTTATGCATATGGCAGGCGCAGTCTCAATGTGCTATCCAGACATGATGACCAATCGTGCCAAAGAAACGGCATCTGAGCGCTCGGAGCAGTTTCTCTGGATGCCGCTAACTCCTGCGCAAGAAGGGAACTCCCAAGAAAGACGTGTGGGATTCAAGAGCTTCAGCCGCTGCCATCGTACCGGATTTACAGCTCCTGTGGAGGAGTTTGAGGCTGACTTCTGTCTGAAGCTTGGGCTTGGTGAGCCGTGTACCTGAAGCTGACGATGAGTTCTTCTCTTTTAGTGTCTAAGTTGCAAGTTGTAAGCATCTTTTCCAGCCGCTGTGGCTTGTCTTGACTCTGACATACTCTGACCCATCCCCTGCACTAAGGCCGAAAGTGGATGTAAGAACCTGCCTTTTGCTTTGCGCTTGGAGATGCTCGCGCCCATTGAAGGACATCATCCGACATTATCGGCCAGCACAACCCCGGAGTGGTGGCGCACAAGGCTGCTGAGACCTCTGGGAGAGTGATCTGCAGATGCCTGCCGCGAGCACATTTCTCCGACGCAAGACCCGGGACAGCTCGGCCTCAAGCTTTCTAAACGAACGCCCTCAACTTCGATCAGCTCTTCTGCAGTTGCTTCAGTGAAGTAGGTATAACTCAAACCTCTCCCATCCTTGCGTCTCCCCTGCCTGCGACACCATGCTCTCAGGAGGTCCACGTTTTTGGTGTCAAGGTCGGGGTGCTGGGCATCATCAGCAGAGAACGATCGAATTTGCTCGCTTCCCACATTTGTGCAAGTCTTTATGTTGTTGCACGAATCCTGAGATGCCAACACTTCCCAAGCCTTTTCTCATTCGGGTCCTGTCAGGGCCGTGCTAGAAGCTGCCAGAACATGGTTTTGATGGTTAAGATTTGTTCTAGGTAAGACCTCGGGTCTCCTGCTTGAAAAAGATGTAGGGGGCCATGGGTGAGAGGTCGACTTGAAAAGCGGGCGCGAGTTTTGTGACGCGGATTCAATGAATAAGAACCCAGGTGTGTAGGACATGCGCGGCAAAGTTGGATCGGGTTCACTGGGTGAGTGTGATTTTTGATGCGCAAACAAAAAACTGAGGGCCTACAAAATGCGCCCGCCGCGGAGACTTGGTTGAAACAAAGCGAGACCCAGACTTGGCAAATCAAGGGTTGCATTTCACAATCTCCCGCAGACTTCGTGGACACACTTTCCGGCATAACCGTTTGTTAACCTGAACGAAAAACCCTTCAAAATCAACACCTTTTGAGAGTACCCAACGCGCTCCCACCCTGTAGCTGTGAAGTGTTTGCGGAAAACTTCAGAAAACACAAAAACATACGGCTTTTAACAAATCAAATATGTTGCGGAAATTCGATGACAAAGTTTCGCTTTCAGCACACTCATGTTGAAATCCTGGCCTGCCTTCTCTTTCTTGAACAGCTTGGGTGGGAGCTTGTCTCCTGCTCTTTCGCGGGTGCTTTCTCCCGTCGTGGGGGGTGGGCTCGTGAGCGGTGGCTGCGACAGCATTAGCGCTCGGAAGACGATGTGAACCCAGATGTAGCCATCCGCTTGTTGAAGATCGCCGTACGCCCAGATTCCTGTACTGAATAATCACCCACCCAAACTGGCCAGGTCCTCCTTCGAGGCTTGTGGTTGCAGGGTTTGAAAGTACATCTTTTCGGGGAAATCGCTGTAACCGAAAAGGTTTCGCAATACCCGCAAACACAACCGACGACCGCGCCAAGCAGCGACGACGACTACACCAGTGACTACGCCAGTAACAGACGATGAAAACAGAAAAAGCAAGGCTACAAGGCAGCAACAACAAGCAACAGCAACAGCAACAAGCACCAACGGGAAACAGCAACAACCAGCAGCAGCAGCGGCAGCAGCGGCAGCGGCACAGCAGCAGCGGCAGCGGCGGCAGCGGCGGCGGCAGCGGCAGCAGCGGCGGCAGCGGCAGCAGCGGCAGCGGCAGCGGCGGAGGCGGCCGCGGCCGCGGCAGCAACGACACAGCAACGACGCAGCAACGACACAGCAACGACACAGCACAACAGCCGCAGCACACCAACAGTCACAGCACACCAACAGCCGCATCAAACTGCCACAGCGCACAAACAGCCAAAGCACACCAACCACAGCGCACAAACAGCCACAGCACACACACACACACACACACAGCCGCAGCACCCCAACAGTCACAGCACACCAACGGCCGCAGCACACCAACAACCACCACAGCAGCACACCAACAACCACCACAGCAGCACACCAAAACCAACCACAGCAGCACATCAACAACCACCACAGCAGCACAGCAACAACCACCACAGCAGCACAGCAGCAACCGCCACAGCAGCACACCAACAACCGCCACAGCAGCACACCAACAACCACCGCAGCAGCACAGCAGCAACCGCCACAGCAGCACACCAACAACCACCACCGCACAACAACCACCACAGCAGCGCACCAACAACAACCACCACAGCAGCACACCAACAACAACCACAGCAGCAGCGCACCAACAACAACCACCACAGCAGCACACCAACAACAACCACTGCAGCAGCCCACCAACAACAACCACCACAGCAGCCCACCAACAACCACCACCGCAGCACACCAACAACAACCACCACAGCAGCACACCAACAACAACCACCACAGCAGCACATCAACAACCACCACCGCAGCACAGCAACAACAACCACAGCAGCACAGCAACAACAACCACCGCAGCAGCCCACCAACAACCACCACAGCAGCACACCAACAACCACCACAGCAGCGCACCAACAACCACCACAGCACACCAA